TTTGATCATTGTGCAACATCTCAAGTGCATCTCGGTGCGAAGCAACAATGCTGGAAATCAAACGTCCTTGTGCAGCCGCCCATCAAGACGAATACCAACGCAATCTCGTTATCCGCCTTCATTAAAAAAAGGCCCAATTGTCATTTGCTTCTGATCATAACCCCACCGTAAGCTGTACATGTCCAGGTTGAACCTTTTTTAAATGTTTTTTCTTTAGTTGATAAGAGCCCCGGTAAAAGGCACAGACATTGCGTAGGCCGAAGCCTGAACTCAGGACTCCTGGCATCTGGGAAGGGCAGAAGGTTGGGGCTCGTGCACGTTGAACCTTTAAAATGCAAACATAGTGCACATTTAGATTTCATACGTGACACAAACTCTACGCCTTTTGTGTTCACCGAGCAATTCCGTCTGCCGTATTTAATTCCTTTACTGTTTTTGCCGCCGTGCTGAATTGGCGAGCACACTGGATTTGGAATCGAGAGGTTCCACTGGTTCAATCCTCGCGGCGCGGCGCTGCAGTTGAAACAATGCAGCAAGGTTTCTCAAATCCTCCTCCCACCCCAGCCTCTGTCCACCCAGCAGCAGAAGTTGTTACGGCACAGTTCAGAATCAGAATTTGCATTTATAATGGAGGAATCCGATGAGCAATGAAGCTGCAGTTTTCACAGATGAGGGGGGGGGGGGGTAAAGCATGGGTACTCCCACCTCTTCCAAGATGTTTGGCTTGGAAGAGTAAGCCAATTGTTCTCCAGAACTCCCTCTAGCGTAGGCCTCTCCGCCAGCAGTGGCGTTAGTCAGTAAATGCACGGTTTCACCTTCACTTAATTTTGTTTAGTGTGGCATTTCAGCCAGAGGTCGCAAACGGGTTTTGATTCCTTACCCGTACCCGGCCGCAACAGGGTCGAAAACGGGTACCCGTACCCTACCCGATACCCGGCTACCCGTACCCGGCCGGGTATCGGGTAGGGTACGGGTATCGGGTACCCGATTTCGGCCTCTGGGATGAAGCCATGTTGCAGACGCGGGTGGGTTGATTCTAGGAACTTGAATTGTGAGAAGAGACAAGACGTTGGGAAATGAGTGACAAACGGTGACTCACCAGTGACTCACGGCCTACCCGTACCCGGCCGCACCAGGGTCGCAAACGGGTACCCGTACCCGGCTGAGTACGGGTAGCCGGGTATCGGGTAGGGTACGGGTCTCGGGTACCCAGTTGCGACCTCTGATTTCAGCTCACTTTTATTCTACTGCTTACTCCTGATTTACATGTTCTCGGTTCTAAACTTGAGAAGACATTACCCCCACACAGTGCTGTGGAGACTCCTGAAGCTGTTCAATGGTTGAGGTGGAATCTCTGGGCGGAGTCCAGCAGAGAATGTTTTCTTTCCACTCCACGTTGTGGGTGAACACATTTCACGGGCGGGATTTACAGACATAGTCTAAACAGTGTACAGTAGCATTTTGTTCGGTTTGTAAAAAAAAGTCTCCCGACTCCTAAACACAGCAGAATAAAGATGTAGGTGACTGTGTGCGCGTGTTTGTGTATGCAGCAAATTTGTATAATTCTGCTATTTCTTTGTACGGTTTGAAAAGTCTTGGTGAGCCTCAGGACTAATCTTCCGTAGGTTGCCGCTTCAGAATGTTTGGTCACAAGACTACTTCTTGGCAAAGTCTCAAAACCCCCTGGACTAGTCACTCAAAAAACTTACCATGCAGCTCACCAACATCAGTTCCCAGATCTGTAAAGCTTTCTGGTAAGATTGTAAATTAATTCTTAACAAAAAATATATATTCTTCTTCTTGGTTCTTTCGGTAAAGTCACGTAGAATGGAAATATTAAAATAATAAAAATAAAACATAATAAAATAATTCTCACGACGTTTCGGCCACAACGCAAGCAGCCGTCCTCAGGTGGAGAACTATTTCATTATGTTTTATTTTTATTATTTTATTATTTCCATTCTACGTGACTTTACCGAAAGAACCAAGAAGATGAATCCCTGCAGTCACGAAAGCTTTAAATCGAAATATATATTCTTGTTTAATTGTGTCATGCTGTGTAAGGGTTTGATAAGCGCGTGCCTGGCGTGCATATGCGTTTGTGCCACTGCTCGTGTTTTGTGTGTTCACCTCTAGACCTGCATCTCCCCCCCCCAACAACTAAAGCGAAGCGTCCTTTGTAGAGTCGCTTGTCGGCTTGCTATAACCGTGCACTGTTTGATATTCATGGCTCGTCAAACGTCAAAGTGTCTCCCTACCTCAGTGTCAGAAGTGCTCATCTCTCTTGGTAGGCCTAGACCATTGCTGGAAGTGCCACATTCCTATAATTTGGCCAGTATCATCATGTGACAACAAACTGTAGATTGCCTATGAAGTGATACCAATTTGAGTGTACCACTTATAAAGCCATGTAACACTTGATTTGTTGTTTATATATGTTTGTGTGCACACTGTGTAGCTTTACAAACTCAAAAACACAACAACGGTGCGGATTGTGTAAAATGTGTCACTGATTTATATGTCAAGAGCACAAGTGATTTTCGTGATTACGTCGTCAGAAAGTGAGAGAAAAGACCTCCAGTGAGAGAGGCGTGGCGATGCAGAGGGATTTAACAGCATTGGGGCAGTGAGCTTTGATGTCTGTGAACAGAGGGGCAGCAGGCAGGAGGGGAAATGCGTATTTGCGTCATAGCTTTTGACCCAGTAAAATTCACTAAGACGTCTCTTTCTTGTTCGTTTGAGCACACTTAAGAAAATCGTGACAGCAATTCCCTCCGTGGGGATTTTTGGCAGCTAATCGCGTGCACATTTCCACCGCCTCGTATTTGCATTCAGGCCGACGACGACCGGGGCACGTAGCGTGTTATTACAGAAGGCCTCACTCTGACATTTGCTGACCCAAGTCTCAGATTATATAAACGTTAAATGAAATAAACATGACCTCGTCCAAAACGTTTTTTTTCTCTCTTTTATCAACCCAGCGACGATCTATCGTCGCACGTAATCGCTGTTTACTCGAACGTTCATCTTTTGCAAAAAAAAATTTGTTTATATATGTTATTTTAAACGTAACCCTTAGATAGCAACGATTTCTGTTTCGGCATCCGGCATGTGCTACTGTTAGTCGCAAATCACGATTAAGCTATTGCCACATATCTTTTATTACAAACATTACTATGTTTAAATTAAATGTCTTATTTTCTTTACACCAGAAATTGCGGCGTTTTTGGTTTTGTATATTATTTATTATCTGCGTTGTTTATTTCTCTGTTTTAAGCAACTGTATCAACCACGCATGCAAGATTAATGGCAGTATTCCCCCCCCCCCACATATCGTTGATTGTTTTGCCATCGATCCATCAGCTATTGCCTCCCTGGCCTTTTGTGCCAGAATCTCTGAGGCAATGGAAATTCACATTTTAGTCCTCCGAATGCCTCCTAGAATACCACTGTGCCGGGCGGACACGGATGAACTGACTTTCCCCAGCCACGCTGGGATGGAGATGGTGCATTCAGTTCACTTTTTTTATTTGTCAAAACAATTGACTTTTTCAATACGTGAGTCAAATTTTCTCAGAGTTCTAGATAATTGCTGTCAATATTATATCCCATTTGTTATACGTATTCTTAGGGTCGGTTCACAGTGATGACGTCATATTTAAGACCGGGAGCAGGTAGATTGCTTCACTATTCTTGCAATTCGCTTGATGATGCTGGATATAATTGCCAGTGAAACGTCGTACTCAAATTGTACATTTTGTGGATTTACTCTCCAACACACCGGTGGGCTCGAGTAGTAACTAATTGCCTCGTTGTTTAGGTGACAAATCCCTTACTGGCTGTATCGGGTGGTGGAGCATTACGGCACATTTCTACTTACGCGATCTAACCCAAAAACCTTTATCATTAATTGTTAGGGTGGTTTTTAAATATTGATCGTGAGGTTGCCTAACTTGTGGAACTCCCCAGAAACCCTGTGTTGTGTCACGCAGACCAATACCATTGGCTCAGGATACACGAACGCTCGGTTGTGGAATTTCTAAGATAAATTAATAAAAGATTGTGCGGCAGTATTGCCGCGTCTTCCTCCCGGTTGCTTTTCTGCACAGCAAAAAGAAATTGATAAATGTCCAACCTAGAGACGAATTGTTCCGTTGCCGTGTGAAGATGCTCTGCCGACTGGGAATGGGAGTTGTGAGTTGCATTGAGCCTGACTCAGAGTCATAGGTGCAATGCAGCTTAATTAACATGAAAGTGTGTTAAAGTTTGAAGTAACAAAAAATCTCCATACTCAAATAAATATTGGGTGGTACTCATCCGCAGCTCGAATTAGCACGGTTGGCTACGTACGGTGCAAAAGAGGACCAGCATACATTTATCCATCCTAGCTTGTGTCCCTGGTGAAAAATTACATCTTCCCATGGCAGGGGACCACTGTTAACTTCTCACAAAGCCGTTATTATTTTAATAACTCTGACAGGATGATGAGCAGAGTCTCCTTCTGACTGGAATTTAAATTCGCAAGCCTCGTGTTTTGAGCTATGCTATGATGCCACCTGTCCAAAAAGTGAATTCACGTCTACATAAATAACAGTTTGTTGTTATCACACAGAGCGTTTAAAAAAAACTAAAATCTTTTTGTCGTGAGTCACCGTGTTGAGTCGAATAGTTTGGTGTTGTTGTGTTGTTCCAAAAAACATGTTGTTTCACTTCCTGGATTTGTTTTTATTTCCCGACTTCTTGGATCTTGTCCTTTTTGGCTCTTGCCATGCTTGACGTAGATTCCAGCGAAACAAGCGTACTTGGTCCGTTCAACGCTTGTACACCACGTGACAATTAAATGTTTGGCCGTCCCAGGTGATGCAGGGTCTTAACGACACAAATTTGGCCAGTTAGTTACATTGGCTGACCCAAAAAAATTCTAATTCTGGATCGTAATATTGTTTGTGAACACGCACGTGGTAAGTGAAAACACATGTCTGTTGGTTTGCCGTGCGCAGCAAACGGTCTGGAGGAGATGGTGGAGGAGCTCAATAGCGGCAAGGTGATGTACGCCTTCTGCAAGGTTAAAGACTCAAAGGCTGGCCTCTGCAAATACGTCCTCATCAATTGGGTGAGTGGGTCCGAGTGTGCACGTATACTCGTCAGTATGCGCAGTTTAATTAAACTAAACTATTTTTATGTTACCAGGTTAGGCCCACTGAGTTGTGGAGCCACCTGGTCACAAAGGGTTACGCAACGAAGTGGCTTATCATGTGGAAATCTATTGCAGCCAAATACTCTAAACACATGTTTCTAAATGGGGAGGGAAAAACCGGAGGACCCGGAGAAAAATCCGCGCAACTACGGAGAGAACATGCTAAATCCAAATAAACAGGCATCGGGTTCAGGATCGAACCCACGACCTCCTGTATACCAGGCGAGTTAGTTAACATCTCGCCACCGTGCAATGAAGCTTGTGGTTCACGCACTGTTGTACAGTCACAGTGACCCACATTCAATTCCTCGCCATGCACAACACGAGTAGTTGGCAATTTACATCATGGGCCCTCCTTTGCCAGTACCTAAATATGAGAAGGAGTTTTCCCGTTTTATCTGGCAACAAAACAGGTGTTAAGTTGTTAAAGCACCAAACTGAAACTTTTTACAACGAATCATGTCTGCATTAACCACAATGCTTGTGGTCAAAATTCAAACAAAAAACACTGATAATATATGCATTGTCTTTGAAACTGATTGCTGTACGCCTTTTGGCCTCACACCGTTTGAGACGAGGCTCAAAAGAAAGCTGTCTCTGGTGTGGACCAATCAGTTTCAAGGACAATGCATTTTGACCACAAGTATTGTGGTTAATGCAGACATGTATTCTTGTTAAAGGTTTCATTTTGGTGTTTTAACAACTTAACACCTGTTTTGTTGCCAGATAAAAGGGCAAAAACTCATTTTCATAGTAAGCAATTGTAAACAGAAACTGGCTTGGGCTGGCCCTTGGTCGACTCGGCCTAGAGTGAGTACCTTGTGTTGTGCGTTAAGGCCTCACACGGCACTGGGTAGGCAAGGGCAGTGTGGCATGGGGTGTTGACCACAAACCCCCTCTCATGCAGTCTCTCTCGGCGATCGTTAGCATCTCTTGCAGCAACACCATACAGGTAATGGTTGGGAGTCATTTTTGTAATAAGTGGCATTGAAATGGGCAACACATTGAGCTGTGACCCTAGAGATCTGTGTTTGATACCTGGTCGTGCGCAACACCAGTGTCATTGGCAACTTTTATCGCTTGTCATACTGTATTAGAAAAAAATTTGGCTGGCTGGCTGCCTGGCTGACGCACGGGTGATGTCACCGCACATATCCCCGTAATGGCGTTAACGTCACGCCTACCTCCCCCCCAACACCCACCCTTCACCCCGGCCGTGTATCCCATGTAAATGGGCGGGCAGTGCTCGTCATGTAAAACTACTAATAATGTTATTGGCAATTATATTGCGCCCATTACGTGAGCGAACATCACGGAGCGCAATCTATAAATAGGGTCTCTACTAGGTTGCCTCCACCTCAAATGGGTACAAGGTATGGATGAGTCGCCAACACCATTGTTGGAGAGACAAAGGTGGCAGGTTGCAGTCGTCCCCCCACCACCAATGGCATGCCACCCTTTTACGGCGTTTTGCAAACACCTCGTCACTTTATTATTAACACCACGACCTGATTTGCATTGCCTCAAACGACACTTAGGTCGCTGACAGCGTCATCATGCGTCCTTTCTCGTTATCTGTCGCCGCTCAGCCATCGCCTCCGCCACCTACCCTGTAAATCGCTTTGGTTGACGTCGTTTCGATATTCATCGTCGTACCTTTCAGGAAAGCATCCCTGACGTAAACCGGGCTATTGCTGTATGTTGTTTTGGCGTGTTGCAGTGGCGTAGCGGACTCACGCACTGCACTATGAACCACAGCGACCCGGGTTCAACACCTAGCCATGGCTGACATCGGTGGCGAGTAATCAAACTAAACCGGTCCTGGGTCTCTATTTAATTAATAACCTGGGTAAAGAATAGTCAAACAAATGACCACTTAGTCTAGCAGTGGATGGGCCGAGGGCTCTAAATGATTATTTGCGGTATTTTCTCGTGTTTTCATGTGGTAGAATGATATCCCCATGTGAACTTCTCAGCTGCATACCTCTTGACAGCTCTTAGCCTCGTGTCGTGAATAACTTAAGTGCGTTTATTAATTCATTGTGCTGGTGGCAGCGATATCGTTACAGACATGTGAATATTTGGGTCACTGAGTCGGGGTTTACCGAATTATTGTTCAGTAGTCGCCAACGTGTCGTATTTGACCTCAATAATACAGTTTCAAAGACAATGCATATAATATCAGAGCATGTTTTTTTTTGCATATTCACCACAAGTATATGTGGTTAATGCAGACATTCTTTGCAAAAGGTTCAAGTTTGGTGTGTTAACATCTTAACACCTGTGTTATTGCCAGAAAGGGTAAAATCTTTCCTATATTCTTATATCAAGAGATACATTTTTGCATGCTCGTGAAAGCCAAATAATAACAGTAATTGTGGATGATCCCAGGAAAAAGCGGGCGTTTTCAACAGATTCCTTGCTTCTGTGGCTCATTACCGTGACCCTGGGCGCCCTCTCTGTGTTTTCATCTCGAGTAATTGCCTCCTTCCTGTTGCCGTTTTGCCGACTGGCAGATCGGAGAGGGAGTCAGCGACGGGAGGAAGGGCACTTGTGCCAACCACGTCAACTCCGTGGGCAACTTCTTCAAGGTAGGCATTTGTATGTATGTATGTTGAGCTTCTTTTGCATCGTACGTAGCCAACCGAGCTCATCGGAGGTGTGGAGGTAGTACAACAAATTAAGCACAAAAAGCAGTTCTAAAGAAATTAGATTTCCATCTAAATTATTTAAAAGGGCATAGCTCCAGTGGCTTCCTAGTGTCAGAAGGGAAGAGCGTTCCAGACGCCAGCAGAAGCGCGTCTGAAAGTGTGCGATGCGATGAACGTCTTTGTTCAGTCGTTAGCCTAAAGGCCCTGCGAGGATCACCAAATTGGAGTGATGGTTTATTCTTCTTGACAAGATCAGCGAGGTATTGCGGTTCATTTGTGGCAAGCACTTTTGTGTGTAACGGGCGCGACCTTAAAACCTATTGGTTCGTAATCCAATGCAGCCCGCCGAGCACAGGACGGACTACGGTCGGATCTCGCCGTGCCCGACACGCGCTAAATAATTTCGTAAAATTTCCCCACACGTTGCTCGTAAACGAACCGTTTAACTGCTCAAGGGACTGTCATGGTCCTTGCGTCCCCCCGTACGATCGAGCGAGTGTTGCGTGTGCTCAATGGGAGAAAATAACCGTGCATGCGTTGCGATTTTTATCACACCGTGGAAGCCAAGCAAGCTTTTAAGCCTGCTTGGTTCTTGGATGCGTGTCCACCAGGCCTTGCCTGGTCATTAAAGCAGGCGTGGAGCTTCGTGAGGTGGCCCTGGGAGATGATAATGCTTGAGTGTAAATCCGTTCGTGCACATGGATTTTCTCCGGGTTCTCCCACGTACCAAATGCTCGATAATTGAATTGGCCAAATATCCCAATGCAGGACCCTTCTGAAAAAAAAGTCTTAAGAGCCAGTGAGGCATTTCTAGGTAAGAAATGACAATATTTATTATTAATTCCCATTGGGGGTGTTCTTCCGTGTACACTTTTCTCTTGGGATGTCTTGAAATCCATCGAAGAAACACGCTTCCGACTGCAGTGCCACGTACTCTGCATGCTCATTCCCCCCTGTCACGAATAACTGCAATGGGCCCTCTGAGCTGGAGGCACAGACATAACCTCCTTCCGATCATCTCTCAAAGCCTCACCTCTTCTCCATTGCCCATTCTCTTCCCTCCCTCCCCCCTCCCCTCCACTCCTTCCCTCCCCTAACCCCTACACGCCCTCCATCGTTGTCCACCCATTCCTCATCCAAATAATGTATTTGTTTCTACACATTTTTTTCTGAATGATGTTAAACGCCTTGATCAAAGGCCATCCATAATAATGTAGAATAAGATGAGACCAACACATATTCTTGTGCACGTACAATTTAGGTTATTTTAGCATGCTTCATGGCACTGGCGAGTGCAGGTGAGCAAAGCGGAGGGGCCATCGATTAGGAGCATAGAAATACAGTACAGCAATTCAATTTGCTGCACTGAACCGCTTTCTCCAACCACGTTGAGTCTATAACGCCTATTATGCATAGCGGCCACCCATCGAAGCGCAATCCAGGCTCAACCAGGCATAGATTCCGAGATTTGACAAGATGGGGTGCAATTTGGGTGATTTATTTATAGGCATATATAGAGGAAGCATTACATTGGAAGTACGGTCGGTCGGAGAGTTATTTTATTAATTTGCCCCTCCATGTTACAATTGGATGAGCAAGTCTGCACATACATATAAATCAGGTCACTCAGTAATGAGTTTACAGTGTGCTTAGTATGTGTTTGCTCTCATTGTTTTACTTTCTGCGTCAAACATTGATTAAGATCATTAGGACCGACCATGTGCATTGGATTATAATTAAACGGGAGTGGCTTATCATTTCTCTGGCTTATCGGATGCAGTGGTGAATGTGAACCGCATGAGAGAGCTGTGTGTTGGCAGCGTGTGCAATATTTTGTTTATTTATGCGGCATCATCTAGCGCTGTTCTTGCATGAACCCATCATTGTTTTTAATGAGGCCATGGTATTTTGAAATGTTTTGGAGTGAATTTAAGAGAGCCCGTTTAAGATCTGGATAATATTACGGAAGCAATTAGGTACATTTTCTTGGCATGTGCATGATTTTTGCTCGTTAATTTGACAATACGGAATAATTGCACTTGTATTATTACATATTTAATGATAAGTAACGTATAATTTCTTTTTTCTTTTAAGCCAATTATATTTAATGGGGATAATTGCTTGTTGTGAAAGGGTATATATAACAGATTTCCATGCAATCTGCTCCACAAGTTTTAAAGGTCGAATTTTTTTTTTACGTCGCGATGAGTTTTAAAGGTTAGCCGATATTTAAAGCCCTTTGTGCAAAAACGTGAACCGGGTAAATTAGAAACTTGGTTTGTTTTATTTTTATTTTGAGAAAATCAAGTTAATGAAGCGCGGATCAAAATGAAATTGTCATGGATCTTTGCCCTCACCCTCCCCCAGAGTCAAAAAGTCACAAGTGTCCCCTGGCTCTGATGACCAATCGTGAAAATTCCATGCGCCTATGGCAGGAGGCAGTATCTCCGTAGGACGGCAACTACTGTTGACTTTTCACAATGTGTGGTGATAGTTTTTTATCAACTCCGGAGGGGGGGGTAATGGGTTGAGTCCAGGCCACTGGGATTTGATCTCATTTTCCAATTGCAAGTCTTCTTGTAAGGCCACATTATTATGATTATTATAACATTATGGTTGTAAAAAAATCAGCTTAACGAGAGGCACGGGAAGTATTATTTTGCCCTGTTATTGTATATACGGTCGTTTCCCATCGTGAGAATCTGCCGCCTGGAGGGAGTTTCAGATAATATCCCAGATAGAATGTGGGCTGGGTCGCTTAGAGGTCAGGGTGCTGAGTCAGCAACACTGAGAATCCTGGGTGTTCAATCCAGGCACCTTGCGCGGTGAGACCAGGTTCTCAAGCGTTGCGAGTTGATTGGCGTGGCCCAGTCACCAATGACTGCACAGAAAACCCATCGGATTAAATTTGTTATTTTAGAACTTGATTTGGCTAAATCCTGGCTCTAAGAAGAAGAAAGACCCACTCGTTGTACGGAATTATCATTGAAGAGTGCGTTGGAAAGTGCTCCCCCTACTGGGTAAAAAAAAATATGAACAAAAAGGAAATTGGAATTATTTTGTTGAATTATTACGGTGAAAAGTATCTTACTTGGGTCATTCTCAATGGATGCATTGTCTCTTGACGTGACTGATGTAGTAGCACAGTTATCACAAACTCGGGGAAAGACAAAAAAACAACAAACTTGTTATGCACTCCACCGTTCGTAATCGAATTGCGGTACTTGTGCCGTTGCACAAGAGGTTCGCGACGCCTCTAGCGAATTCTCGCCTTACGCCAGGGAACGGCCCTGGAAGATCTCTTCTCTCGTACGGCTGCTGATGCAGATACAGAGCAATGACTACAGATTCACATTCGGGTGGTCAAGCCCAGATGACCGCGTCGGGAGCAGCGGGGTTCTATCGCCGTGATGTCCCCTTCATGTTTTGTGGATCGGGGCATTGCGTTGTTATACGTTGTATTGGTCAGTTCTCGGTGATCACAGTGCGCCCTGGAAGATGATGGCACAGAATGAATCCTGGAGGCACATCAGTCACGCTCGCTTGCCCAGCATCAGCTGCTGCTGCTGCTGCTAACAACTGGCCTCCGAAGTGTGTATCCACCACATTTCCATTCATCCTTCTTTGGACTTCATATTTAAGGAACGAAACGGGAGGATTTCTCCACACATCTGGCTGTTGCCTGATAAAGCTAGTTGTAATTACTGGTGAAATGTTGTACTCAAATTGTAAATGGTGTGGCTTTTCTCTCCCAACACACCGGTGTGCTGTACTAGTAACAAATTGGCATGTTCTGTTTACGTGACAAACCTTATTAATTGGCTGTGTCGAGTGGTGGCGGGTTTAACGACACTTTTATATATTTACACAATCTCACCCCAAAAAAAAACCTGTATTATGGATAAATGAAATTGTTAGAATATTTTAAATTAAATGGAAAAAAGTGGCATTATGGTCAATCAACATCCAGCACGGGATCCAGCACTGAATAAGAATGTACAATTGTTCTTGTTCTCTCTTTCTGTGCCGTACGACGATGTGGCTGTTTGGATTCGAATGCAGGCGAGCAGGGATCGATCCCTCAGTGCATTGTGAAAAATCCCCTCGGCCACCTCGAAGTAAATAAATAAAACATGGTTCTAATAATCATAATGAGGGAACTGGAGCCTTTTAAAAGTCTACCAAAGGTCACGGGGGGCGGGGATGCTCACCGAGTTCACTTGGGGCTAATAAGGGTCCTGAAAACCACACCCTGGCATGGAATGTAAAAGTGGTAAAGGGGCAGCCCTGCAATAGCCTGCTTGTGCCACTGCTGGTGGAAGGGCCTCAACTCGGGGGAGCTCTAGAGCACCCCTCTAGGACAGGGTATTTTGACCAAGTCTTCCACCTCGGCCAAACATTACCCCACCACCTACCAAATAGACTTAACTGTGGTGTAATGATTTAAATTGCCGTGTGGACAGAGGTGCCGGGGAGGGGCGGGATTTATAAAACTTTTACTGTTATTTCAACTGCCGTGCTGGGAGATCGAACCGGCGACCTCTGGATTGCAAGTCCAGCGTTATGTGCGAACAATGCCACCATGGCAGCGGCAGCAGCGTTCAGGGTGGAATGTGCGCGTGCAGAATTGTGTGTGGTGTGTTGCTCCGCAGTAAGAACGCAGTGCACGCCGGCGCACACCTATTTGTGTAGGCGCCAAACATCCCCAGTTATCGCTCGTCCGCAGCATTGAACGTGACGTCGTCGGCCGTGCGCGTGACGTCAGCCCACGCACTTAAATCACGCGAGGTCGTCGCAAGGTCAAGGATTATGCCCGTCTGTGTGTGTCACGGCAGGTTCGCATGCCAGCAGCGGGAAATCTGCGATGACTGCAGCTTAAATGCACAGCCGTGCAAACGAGCGTTTTGCCACTCTCATAACACTTCGTACGGATGATACAG